ACCACCATACCTGGCTTTTTTTTCTTTTTTTTTTTTTTTGAGACAAGGTCTACTAAGTTGTACATTCTGGCCTTGAAAACTCTTTAGTCCAGACAAGTCGTGAACTTGAACTTGCTATCCTCCTTCCTCAGCTCCCCAAGTAACTGTGCTTGCAGGCCCGCACCAATAGGTCTGCTTTGCATCAAGCATTTTTCTTTTAAGAAATGTTTGGAAAAATAAATAAAAGAAAATGTTTGGCTGGAGTTGTAGCTCAAGGGTAGACCACATGCCCAGCATGCACCAGGCCCTGAGCTTGAGCCCCAGCACTGCAGAGATGGCGAAGTGGAAAAGTGGTGCACACACATGAGGGCCTGAGGTCAGAGCCTGTGCTTCTTAGCGTTTGTCAGCTTGACTCAAACTAGAGACACCAGAGAAGAGGGAGCTGCAGTTGAGGCATTACGTCAGACTGGCCTATGAGCATGGTGATTACTGCTAAGTGGTAGGAAGGCCCAGCCCACTGTGGGTGCTACCATCCCCAGGCAGGTGGGTCTGGGCTGTATAAGTAGCTCAGCTAGCCAGTAAACAGCACTCCTCCATGGTCTCTGCTTCAGCTTCTGCCTCCAGTTCCTGTCCTGGCTTCCCTCAGTGATGAACTGTCACTTGGAAATGTAATATGCAATAAACCCTTTCCTCCCCAAGTTGTTTTTGATCAGAGTATTTTACCACAGCAACAGAAACCAGATCCCCAGAACCCATGTAAAAAGCCAGGTAAGGGGCTGGAGCGATAGCTCAGCGGTTAAGAACACTGGTTGTTCTGGCAGAAGACCCGGGTTTGAATCCCAGCACCCACATGGCAGCTAACAACTGTTCGTAACTCCAGTCCCAGAGGATCTGACAGCCTCTTCTGACCTCTGTGGGCATTGCATGACACAGGTGCACTTACCTATGTGCAGGCAATACACACATACACATAAAATAAAAATGAAAAGAAAAAAAAAATTTTTTAAAAGCCAGGTAAGGTGGCATGCACCTATAATCTCAGCCCTCAAGAGACAGAGCATTCCCAGAACAAACTGGCCTGCTAGTTGAGCTGAGTCATCAAACTGTGGGTTCAGAGATCCTGCCTCGGTAAATAAAGTGGAGAGGGATTGAAGAAGACAACCTCTAGCCTCTACACACAGGCACACACATATACATGTCCCTACATGCACACCACATACACATACCAGAAAATAAAACCACAAATAAAGAGAACTTGCACTGAGATGTGGTAGCCTTAATTTCAAGTCCTGACTCTAACATTTAATTGCTCTGAGAGCTCGAGTAAGTTATTTAATGTCTGTTTCATCATTACAAAGCCTCATGATAATTACAGCTACTGCTTAAGATTGTGGCTGTGTGGTCAAGTGCTGAGTCTAATATTTGGCACCTGTAAATGTTGACTGTTACTGTTACACCTTCTAGCAGATTCTTGAGCAGTAATGGGCAAGTGGCATTTTTAGCTTAGCTTTGCAAGATAAGTAGGATTTGAAGAGGCTGAGGGATTAAGGAAAAGATGGCCGTTATACTAGTGGGCACTTGCGGGGGCTATTACTCATTTTGCTGGATGGAGAGGATATTTGGAGTGGGAGGGTTGATGGGAAGTGAAGCCTGAGGAAAAGTAGAAACACTGTAGCCAACTGACTGAGAGGCTGGAGAATTTTAGGGAAAATTATATAAGAATAAGGTAGCTGGTGAATTGTGGGTAGGAGGGACATGAAGGTGGGGTGCATCAGCCAGGGGCAAGTGGATCGAACTATAAATACTAACAAGGAAGTACCTCACTCAGGGAGCTGGGGCTGTAGCTCAGTTGATAGAGTGCCAGCACCACACAGACCAGGTATGGCGGGTGCACACATGTGATCTCAGAACTTGGAAGTGGAAGCAGGAAGGTCAGAGAAGTTCAGAGTCATCCTCAACTGCCTCATGAGTTTGAGGCTAGCCTGGCTACATGAGGCCCCTCTCAAAAACCCCCCAAAAGAATTGCTTCACCGGTACTTGGAGACTCAGTAAATATGAAGAGGGAGGAGTTAAAGAGGGTGAGCTGTTAAGCCTGAGTGGTTGAGATGCGTGCAGAATAGAGTCTCCTCACTGTTACTAGCTGAGATGAATGGAGAGGGGCTCTTTCCTTCCGAACAGTTTGACAGTTAAATTGCTGGGTTCTGTACTCAATAATGTAAAGACAAAATTCCTTGTCTCGTTTAAGCTAGGGTATCAGATGACATTGTGCATCTTAAAGGGGGGGTAAAAAAATTGACATTAGGCTCAGCGGTTAAGAACACTGTTCTTGCAGAAGACCTGGGTTTGAATCCCAGCACCCATATGGCAGCTAACAACTGTCCGTAACTCCAGTCCCAGGGGATCTGACAGCCTTTTCTGACCTCCTTGGGTACTGCACGACACAGGTGCATTTACCTACATGCAGGCCATACACGCATACATATAAAATAAAAATAATACATTTTTTTTAATTGACAATAGAATTGATATTGTGGAATATGGCTCACAGCGAAGGAGTGAAGGCTTTTGCTCAAGGCTCTTGCTTGGGGTCCGTAGAGCCTGAAATAAAAGGGGTTTACTGCTAAAAGTGACCAAGTACAACTGGAATAGCAGAGTGGAGTGTGTCCTGAAAATGGAGACCATTGAATGTAGAATTGGTGTCGGAGGTTCACTGATGGTAATCGAGAGGGAAGAAGGGCCAGAAGCGTTCTTCAGCAGTGCTACCTTGACCTTGCTGTGTCATGGGTATCGGGATGGAGAGAAATCAGAGCTGAACTGGAGTCCCCAAAAGCAAAACAGACCAGGGAGACTACCATGTGTTCCTGTCAAGACAGCCATCTGGGTTTGCTGATAGGACCCATCTAGTAAAGGGACTTAACCAAGCTAAGTGGACCTGAGTTCGATCCAGGACCCACGTGAAAGAAGAGAACTGACTCTTGAGTTATCTTCTGACCTCCACACATGTACCATGATGCATGTGCATGCGTGCACGTATACACACACACACACACACACACACACACACACACACACAAATGGTAAAATCAGCCACCCAGCCAGCCATAGTGGCTCACTCCTTTAATCCCAGCACTCCAGTGGCAAAGACAGGCAGATCTCTGTACGTTCAAGGCCAGCCTGGTCTACATAATGAATTCCAGGCCAGCTGGAGCTACAGGGAGACCCTGTCTCAAAAAAAAAAAAGCCACCTATAAAAATTAAATGTTGTGTTCTGTTCTCTTGGTATTTTATATGATACTGTGTTTCTGAAATATAATTTTTATGTTGCTATGTGTAAATAATTCCATTTTACCAAAGTGGCTTACAAGTTATTTTTTGGTTTTGTTTTTCTGAGAGTCATAATTATAAATGCTTTCCTAGTTTAAAACTCTTGGCTTGAGCTGGGGATACAGCTCAGCAGTAGAGTACTTTCCTAGCATGTACAAGGCCCTGCGTTTAGTCCCCAGCACTGCAAAAAAATAAAATAAAGCTCTTGGTTTGATACAGTGTTTGTGTGATCTCTTTCTAAAACTTCCACTTAATGCTTAGTGGTTTGGTATTTTGGGTTTTGTTTGGTTTTTGCTTTATTTTGTTTCTAATTTTTTAAAAATTTATTTATGTGTGTGTGTTTCTGTGTGTGTACCACATACATGCAGAAGCCAGAGGAGTCACACATCAGATTCCTGAAGCTGGAGTTAAAGGTGGTTATAAGCCTCCAACATGGGTGCTGGGAACCAAATTCAGGTCCTCTGGAAGAGCAGCAAATGCTCTTAACTGCTGAGCGATCTCTCCAGACCCCAAACTAACCAATTTTAATACTTAAATTCTGAGGCAGTGAGATGGCTCAGGAGCAGATGAAGGGCTTACCACCAAGCCTGATGGCCTGAGTTCAATCCCAGTAACCCACACTGTGGAAGAAGAGAACCAGTTCTTGGAGGCCGCCCTTTGACCCTGAATGAGTGTACACACATACACAAAATGTAATGAAAATAAAAAATTAAGTTGCATTGAAATTCTAGTTCCAAGTTTTGGTTGGATTTTAAGATTTTATTTATTTGTGTATTAGGGAATATGGTCACGTGCGTATGGGTGCATGCCAAGCCCAGCTTTAACACACGTGCTGGGGCCTGAACTCAAGTTCTTAGGATTACACAGCAAGCGCTCTCAACCACTGAGCCATCCCTTCAGCCCCATAGTTCCAAGTTTTTAAGGAATGTACATATTAAGGGTGTTTTCCACAATACTTGATAATCTTTTTTTGTGGTTAGAATTACATAACAGTGAAACACTTCATACATCTGTTTTCATAATTGCTATTTCCTTGGGCTTTTGTTTTTCTTTTGGCAGTGCCTTGGCAAAGCTTCCCTCCTGCCCAAGCATTCCCGTGTGCGATCCCCCCTCACACACTTTCTTTGAGCCACCTGCTTTCTCACTGATGACATTTGTCTAGGTCAACATTTGTTTTAGCCTCTTGGTGTGGCTGAGGCTTTGCTCTTGTCAGGAGCTGCAGCTGTGCAGTCTTGTTCCCTTGTTTTTACATCTTAAATCCTCTGGTTGTAGTGTCTAAGAATCTTTTAAAGTGGCCAGTCTCCTTATGAAGATGAGGTTGAGTAAAGCCAGGTAGAATAATCCATTCCTTCACATGCCATAGCTCAGGTTAACCAAGGCACAGGATCCAAAACTGAACAAGCAAGGGAAGGAGGGGCTCTTCCCTCAGGATGTAAGGTGCCCTTTGATAACTCGACAGGCCACTGATACCTTCCTGGTAGGTTAAAATATGGCTTTCTCTCACTTGTTTTGTTTTTTTAGTTTAACTTTTGTTGTCGTTTGGTTTTGAGACAGCATCTCCTATAGCCCAGGCTGGCTTGAAACTCACACTGTAGTCAAGGCTGGCCTTAAACTCCCGATCTTGTTGCCTCTGCTTCCCAAGTGCAGGGATTATAGGCTTGTACCACACCTGCCTTTTCTGTCATTTTTCTTTTTTTAAATAGGGGCTGAAGAGATGGCTCAGTGGTTAAGAGCACTGGCTGCTCTTGCAGAAGACCTGGGTTCAGTTCCCAAGGCCAGCTGGGGCTACAGGGAAATCCTATCTTTAAAAAAAGACCAAATAAAAAGATTTATTGGGCTGAAACTGTAACTCAGTTGGCCATGTGCTTGCCTAGCATGCACGAAGCCCGGGTTCAATCCCCACTACCACATTAACTGAGTATAGTGACACGTTTCTAATCTCAGCACTTGGGAGGTGGAGGCAAGAGGATCAGGAGTTCAAGGTCTTCCTCAGCTACATAGCAAGGAGTTTGAGGCCAGCTTGGACTACATGAGACCTTGTGTCAAATATATATATAGCCTGCATGTATATATGTGTGCCATGTATGTGCAGTACTTGTGGATGCCAGAAGAGGGCATCGAACCCCACAAGCAGTTGTGAGCCACTATGTGGGTGCTGGAAACAGAACCCTGGTCCTCTGCAAGAGCAGCCAGTGCTCTTAACCTCTGAGACCTCTCTCCAGCCCCTAGGTCACTTTTTATAAAGGTACTTACCATTTTTTTCCCCCAGTATTTCAGAAGTAGTGTGGAAACCGTAGAAAACAACTTGCAGGACACAAAGGCCAGCACAGACCCTGTTTGCACCCAGCCGGTTCCCCAAACCTGAACAATGACAGCCGAGTCGAGGGAAGCCACGGGTCTGTCCTCTCAGGCTTCACAGGAAAAGGATGGGATCGTCATCGTAAAGGTGGAAGAGGAAGATGAGGAAGATCACATGTGGGGGCAAGACTCCAGCCTACAGGAGATGCCTCCTCCCGATCCAGAGGTTTTCCGCCAGCGCTTCAGACGTTTCTGTTACCAGAACACTTTTGGGCCTCGAGAGGCTCTGAGTCGCCTGAAGGAACTTTGTCATCAGTGGCTGCGGCCAGAAGTCAACACCAAGGAGCAGATCCTGGAGCTGCTGGTTCTAGAGCAGTTTCTGTCCATCCTGCCCAAGGAGCTGCAAGTCTGGCTGCAGGAATACCGGCCCGACAGTGGGGAGGAGGCTGTGACCCTTTTGGAGGATTTGGAGCTTGATCTGTCAGGACAGCAGGTAAAAAGATGTGGCACCTCTTGTGTGTGAGAGGGCTTGGGCTCTGGATCTATCTCAGCAGGTGTTAGGAGATTTTGGAATATTTCCTCTACCTGCTCTCCTGGGCTGTTGCAGAGTTCTAGGGGCTGAGAGTGTAACTCAGAGAACATGCACTTGGTATTTATAAAGTTCTGGGTTCAGTGACCAGCTTTAAAAAATATGTATTCTGGGGCTGGAGAGACAGCTCAGCGGTTAAGACCACTGGCTGCTCTTGCAGAGGGACCAGGTTAATAAATACAATTTTTTTTTTTTTTTCGGTCATTTTGAGACAGGGTCTCCCTGTAGCCCCAGCTGTCCTGGAACTCACTGTGTAGACCAAGCTGGCCTTGAACTCAGAGATCTGCCTGCCTCTGCCTCGCAAGTGCTGGGATTAAAGGCATGAGTCACCATGCCTGGCATAAATACAATTTTTTTTTTTTTAAATGTATTCTGGCTGCTCATCCTGGCCACACTTGCAATATTTTAATTCCTATTTTTCCTAAAATGATTCACTATTAACCCCAGCACTCAGTAGCAGAAGCAGTTGGATCTCTGTGAGCTGGAGGCCAACCTGGTGTACCCAGCAAGTTCCAGGCCAGCTGGAGAGATACAGGGAGACCCTGTCTCAAAACAAACAAAAACCTGATTTACTGGGCCAGGCATAGTTATGTATGCCTGTAATCCTAGCATTCAGGAGGATTATAAATTCAAGCCAGCTGGGCTCCATAGTAAGACCTTATCTTTATTTTTTATTATTTTTATGTGTACATGTGTATTGCCTGCATGTGTGTACAAGTGTACCCGTTTCATACAATCCCCGAGGAAGACAGGAGACATTGGATCCTGTGGAACTGGAGTTATGGACACTTTGTTAGCTGCCATGTGGGTGCTGGGAATCGAACCCAGGTCTTCTGCAAGAACAGCCTGTGCTCTTAACTGCTAAGCCATCTCTCCAGCCCCAAGACCCTATCTTTTTTAAAAAAAAATTTTTACCCAAAGTCCATGGTCTCTTTCAGGTACCAGGTCAAGTTCATGGGCCTGAGATGCTCGCCAGGGGGGTGGTGCCTCTGGATCCAGTTCATGAGTCCTCGAGCTTTGACCGTCATGAAGCCACCCAGTCTCATTTCAAACATTCATCTCGGAAACCTCGCCTCCTGCAGTCCCGAGGTGAGAAGCTGTGTTCATGTGGGGAAAAGAAGAAGTAAATGATGTGGTTGGGATATAGCTCAGTTGGTAGAATGCCCACCTAGCATGTGTGAAGTGCTGGGTCCCATCTGACACTGCATAAAACCAGGCATGGTTGACCATGCCTTTAGTCCCAGCACTCAGGAGGCAGAGGCAGGCAGATCTCTGTGAGTTCAAGGCCAGCTACATAGTGAGTTCCAGGCTAGCTGGGGCTACAGGGAGACCCTGTCTCAAAAATGCCCAAAAAAAAACCAAGCATGGTGCACATCTGTCATCCCAGCACTTAGGAGGTGAAGACAGGAAGATAGGAAGTTCAAGGTGATCCTCAGCTACACAGGAAGTTTCAGGTCAGCCTGGGCTACACGAGACCCTGCCTTAAAAGAAACTGGGGTAATAACTGATCCAGAATGGGGGGGGGGGAGTAACCTAAAGACAGAGGTGCCTCCCTCCATGTTAACAGCTATCTATGATAAAGAAGCGAGTTTGTGTCATTACTATGTGTGATAGTCATTATAATGGAGCTCACAGACCAATCTCAGGAGCTATGTTGTTACTGAGGGGGCAGGTGAACCTGTACTGCATTCAGTGAACATTGCAGTGTCTGTTGAACTGCTGGTGTTCCAGATGTCTGTCAGACTTCTGACTGGAGAGTATTCACACAGTCGGTTTTATTATTTCCAGCCCGAGTTGTTTGTTTTCTGACAAGAACTTGCTCTGCAGCCCAGGCTAGCCTCAAACTCACAGTCCTCCTGTCTCAGCCACACAAGTGCTTGGATTTAGGTATATACCACCATGCCTGGCTTCCAGCCTAGGTATCTGAAACGCTTTACTATCTCTGAAATAATTTTTGGAAGAGTCATAAATCTTTCTAAAGACCCATTTTATTTAAATGTATAAAATACTTTATAACATTACTCTTTTCTAGGCTTTTTTTTTTTTTTTTTTTTTTGGCCTTTTTGAGACAGGGTCTCTCTGTAGCCCAAGCTGACCTAGAACTCACTGTGTAGACCAGGCTGGTCTGGAACTCACAGAGCTCAGCCTGCCTCTGCCTCCCAGAGTGTTGGGATTAAAGGCATACCTGGCTCATATAATATTACTCTTTTCTAGGCTATTTTTAAAATTTTCAAACAAATAGAAAAGAATGGGAACAATTTTCTTTTTGATTAAGGAAATGAGAAAATATCAATTCCAGGTTATATAAATAAAAATCACTTTCATTTAAGACTACTGATGAACCTGAACCTGACAAAAGGAACCTTTTTTTTTTGGTCTTTTTGAAAGAGAGTCTCTCTTGGGCTGGAGAGATGGCTCAGTGGTTAAACACTGGTTGTTCTTGCAAAAGACCTGGGTTTGAATCCCAGCACCCACATAGCAGCTAATAACTGGCTGAAACTCCAGTCCCAGGGGATCCGACAGCCTCTTCTGACCTCCGCAGGCATTGCACAATATGGGTGCACTTACTTACATCCAGGCAATACACGCATACACATGAAATTTAAAAATAAAATTTTAAAAAAGAAAGAGAATCTCTCTAGTGCCAACTGGGACTTGCTCCACCTGCCTCTGCCTCTTGACTGCTGGGACTAAAGGGGTGCACCAGCAGTGCAGCGTTGCTATATTTTCTATTTCTAGAATTTCCATTTGATGCTATCTTTGTGCAAATTACCCGTCTGTATTAGTCACTTTCCTGTTGCTGTGATAGAAACACTGACCAAAGCAATTTATAGAAGGAAGAATTTATTTGAGCTTACGGTTCCAGGGGAATTACAGTCCATCATGGCAGGGAGGCATGGTGGCTGGAGGTGGCTGGAGCAAGAGCAGCAAATGCTAAGCTCTCACATCATCACGCAGGCACAGGAAGCAAGAGGACTGGAGATCTGGCAAGGCTTTAGAACTCTGTAAGCCCACCCCCAGTGATGTGCTTCCTCCAGGATAGCCACACCTTCTAAAACCTCCCAAAACAGTGCCATCATCTGGGGACAAAACATCCAAACACTTGGAGCCTATGGGAGACATTTTCATTCAGACCACCACACTGTCCAATCAGGAAGACTACCTCATATTAATGTTTTATTGAAAGATGGTGTGGTTCTTTGAATGAGAAATATCCCCATAGGTGCATGTGTTTGAACACCTGTTCCCCAGTTAGGGAGGTTATAGGATGTTTAGGAGATGGAGACTTTCCTGGAGGAAGTATGTCACTGGGGTATGGCTTTGAGTATTTATAGCCTTGCCCCACTTCCTGTTCTTTCTCTCTGCTTGTGTGTGCAGATGAAATGTGATTAACCAACTTGCTGCCTACTATGCTATGTCTTCCCCACCAATATGGATTCTCCCTCTGGAACCATAAGCAAAAATAAACTCTTCCTGCAAAAGAATAAAAATTTTAATTGAGCTGGGTGTGGTGGCATATGCCTTTAAGCCCAGCACTTGCAAAGCAGAGACAGGTGGATCTCTGTGAGTTCAAGGCCAGCCTGGTCTACGTACGGAGTTCCAGTCTATCCAGGGCTACCTAGTAAGACCCATCTCAAAAGATAGATAAATAAGGGGCTAGAGGGATGGCTCAGTGGTTAAGAGCACTGACTACTCTTGCAGAGGACCGAGGTTTGAATCCTAGAACCCATATGATAACTAACAACCATTGATAACTCCAGTTCCAGGGGATCCAACGCCCTCTTCTGTCCTCCACAGGCATTTCGAGACACAGATGCACTTGTATACATGCAGGTATAAAACTCATACACATAAAATAAATTTTTCTTAAATATAAATAAATAAATCCATTTCATTTGGTTCATTTTTTTTCCTCAAAGGGAAATAGATAAAAGTTTAAAATAAACTTTATCAAAGTTTAAAATAAAAAGTGCATAGAATGTCAGTAAAAACGGTTGCCAAAAGTGTAATTGTTGGGAACTGGAGAGGTGGCTCAGCATTTAAAAAAGAGTTGCTGGTCTTCCAAAAGACCCAAGTTTGGTCGCCAGCACCCATGTCAGAGGCACAACTGCCTGTAACTCCAGCTATAGGAGATCTGCTTTCTTCTATCCTCCCAGAGCACCTGCATGCCATGTGCACAACACATACACGCACATAAATAAAAATATATCTTTTTAAGTTTGTTACATTGCCAGGCGTGGTGGTGCTTGGCTTTAAACCTAGCACTCAGGAGGCAGAAGCAGACAGATCCTTTGTGAGTTTGAGGCCAGCCTGGTCTGCATAGTCAGTTAGAGCAAGACTCTGCCTCAAAACACCAAAACAGAAGTATGTTTCAGAAGGGTTCATCCCAGCACATTCTTCACTAGTGTGTGTTGTGGGGTCATCTAGGGAGGAACAATAGATGACAGAGCTTCGGGGAGCCTTCTCTCTTGCACATCTGGGAAGAGAGCAGGCACCTGCAGCTACTGGTGTTTAACTCTACTTCTGCTGATGCCTATTTGGGGCAGAGGTCGCAGAGGGTGTCGTTAGGAGACTGGAGAGGGTGTTTATGCTCTAAGCACCTGACTATCACTTCAAGTAGCTAGGGAAAACAGTTTTAGAGACCTCATGCCCAGAGTTACTGTTTAGTAAATTGTTCTGAATGAACTGAGACAAGCGCATTTGTCCTCAATTTCCTCTTTATCTTGTTCATCTCCTGGTTTTCTAACTCTGAGAAGGCTAAAGTAGTAGGTTTTTTGCGGGGGGCCACCCTGTAGGGGACCTTGCCCCATAACGGTGAGACCAGAAAGCACAGAGTGAAGACTCTGGGGGCTTGCCTGTCTAGCAACAAGTCCACTTCATTGAAAGTCCAAGAGGTTTTTATACAGAGAAGGAACTAGTGGTCACGTATAGCTTTGCAGTTGCGTACAAAGCATCAGAACATTTTTAGATGAAAAACAGGAATGGGAACTTTTGGCTGGTACAAGCTAAGACAATTACATAGTAGGATGTTTAGATCTTACTCAGGGTTATTGTGTATGTGTGGTGATTTATTGATCAAGATGTTTACTCTTACTCAGGGTTATTGTGTATGTGTGGTGATTTATTGATCAAGATGTTTACTCTTACTCAGGGTTATTGTGTATGTGTGGTGATTTATTGATCAAGATGTTTACTCTCTCAGGACAGGGAAGTTAAGATGCCTTTCTTAGAACGAGGAACACAGTCAGCCTTTTTGATCTGGCCAACTTCCTCTACTAATGCAGCCGTTCCACATGTCAGGGTCCTGAGACACCTGTGTTCAGGGTCTCACCCATAAGCAGAGGTTATGGTTTGATCTCCAGATCTCAGGTTTTACTCATTTAAGGGCAGGTCATACTAATCTCCAACAGTTTTTTGTCTTTCTGTGTATTTTGACTCAGTCTAGTAATTTAGTTTGAGATTTGTTCTGTGATGCCTTTGCAGCTTAGTCCCATCATCTGTCTGCCAGCAACATTTCCAGATCTCATACTGCTTGGCAACCAAAGGGGAATTAGAAAACTTAAATTTTTTGATTCTCATTATCCACTGTATGCAGTTGATGTGATCCATATATGTTACAACTGCTTTGTATTATGTGTGTGGACCCATATCGTCATACATTTTTGTACGTGTCTTATCAATATTTGAACCATGTATGCATTTTTATCAAACAATTACCTATTGTGACCAGTGAGAGAGAAAAATAGAGGGACAAAATGACAAAGACAGACCTAGAAGAAGGAAGCCCCTCCTCCCTTCCCTGCTTAGTAGTCCTGTGACCTTAATAAAGCTGTGTTGTGTTGTTCTCCAGTATAGGCATAAATACAGTCTAGTGCCCTGTGCTGTTCCTTGTGCTGGAGGAAAATACAAGCCAGGTTTGAAGACTAGGCTGAGGAGTACTGGTCCTGGAGTTGAGAACAGGAACCTGGTTCTAGACTGGATCCAGTGTATGCAGTTGATGTGATCTGTGTGCGAAGTTACAGCTGCTTTGTATTATGTGTGTGGGCCCATATCATACATTTGTATGTGTCTCATCAATATTTGAGAACAAAATGCAAAGACGGACCTTCTGTTCTAAACAGAGTGACATTAGATAGTCATTTACCTCTCAAGACCTTCTTTTCCCTTTTAATGTTCAGACTTGGTGATTTTAAGGACTCTTTGATGAACTCCATGTGGATCTCACTTAAAAGTAGTGGTCTTGGTTTGGAAACTGAGGTCTTGTTTCCTCTCGTCTGTGTTCTGTGTCCCTGGTAGTTGGACATCAAACAGTTGGATATGCCTGTGTAGGAGGGACAGTACTGGGCCTCTTCATGAGGGAGACTCAGAGAAGAGCCATTTTACTCACAGCCCCTTTCTCCTCCTCAGCTTTCCCTGCTACCCATGTTCCTGCCCCTCATCACGAGGGGAGTCCCAGAGACCAGGCGATGGCATCTGCACTATTGACAGCAGATTCCCAGGTGAGCTGTGGGCCCCTCTCCCTTCCTGAGACCCTGTTTCTGCCCCTTTCTGGAGCAGGCCTCTGCCAAACCACTTGTTCTTGGCATCCTGCCCACAGTAAAACCCCACTCCTCTCAACATAAGTGCCCTTCTACCACAAGCCCTTCAGTTCACTAGGCTCTGGTCACGTGTTCTCTCCTAGTGTCCCATAGCCCTGCCATCACCTCTGTCCCTGACTGCAGGTTTGGGCAGTAGGACTGTCCCTGATGTTACAGGGAGCTGAGTGTGGCATCTCCTGTTATTTCAGGCAATGGTGAAGATCGAGGACATGGCCGTGTCCCTCATCCTGGAGGAATGGGGATGTCAGAACCTGGCTCGGAGAAATCTCAATAGGGACAGCAGGCAGGAGAATATGGGGAATGTGTTTTCCCAGGGTAAGGCTGATGCAGAGTTCTTGTCTGCTGAAATTGTTTTGCCTCTGTGTTGGTTAGTAAGGGAAAACGTTTATTCATTGGATCCCAAAAGCATGGTACTACAACTCCCTAGTTCTCAGCAGGTTTGACCTCCAGGTAGTTTTGGCTGCTTGAAATCAGAAATAAACTCTCATTCTCTGAGTCGTACTTCCTCAACCACTCAGTTACCTGGGAGGATTCTGCTCCACCACCATGGGTTATATTTGCCAATGTCAAGGGAGATCCTTTTCCTGGTAGAGGCGGCCAGGCAAACTCATCATCATGTAACTTTAGGCCATTGTTTACCATACTCCTGAACCTACCAAGGCATCCATCCTCCTTGGATATTTGTTTTCCTCCATCTAATGTGAGACTGTTCAGTAGACACTGTGATTCTGTAGCTTTGCATTGGCCCTCCCTTAGGATCAGGTTCCCAGATTCCAAGACTAGTACGATCTATTGTGAAGAGCTCTGGGTGTTGAGAGTGTAATCACAATTAAGTTCTGAGGTATTGGCTAGATAAGACAAAATTACCCACCCAGCTGGCAAATTTTGGTGTTAGTCTCTCCTAGATCTTAAGCCCTATCCACCAGGAAGCCCACAGATGTGTACAGTGATAAGGAAGTTTGTAGCAAGAACTCCACCTTCGGAGAGTGAGCAAAGAGTGGGTGTGGAGAAAGGATGCTAAGGAGCTCAAGTTCAGCTTAGAAGCAGCTACAAAGGGGGATTATAATTTTTAGGTACTTGCACTGTTACTCACTGCAGTAACTTTCAAAAATAATAGGAACTCTTGGGGACTGTGCAGCTAATCGGGGACCTTTGCTTGGAATTCTAAAGTAAAGCGGCTTCTTCTCTGCAGTTGGTTCAGGGTTTGTGTTGATTTCATCAGTGAAGTCAGAGATTAGATGATACCAGCTCCTCTAGTTTTTTATTCAGGGGCCTGTTGGGATTGTGCAGATCTTCTTAGATGGGTTTCTTTTTTAGAATTTATTTTTATTTTATGTGTATGAGTGTTTTGCCTGCATCTATGTAAGTGCACCAGTGTTGTGCAGTGCCCACATAGGCCATAAGAGGGCATTGGATCCCCTGGAGGTGGAGTTAGGGCAGGTACTAGGTGCCATGTGGGTGCTGAGACCTAAACCCAGGTCCTCTGCAAGAGCAGCTAGTACTCTGAGCCATCTCTGCCGCCCTTGAAAGGGCTAAGTAAATAGAGTAGAAACACTTGGGATTTTTCCTAGCAAATGGACATAAAATTGTACATGTCTGTCAGTCAGTTTTCTTTTTGGTTTTTTTGAAACAGTGTCTCCCTGTAGCACCAGCTGGCCTGGCACTCACTATGTAGACCAGGCTGGCTTCAATCTCACAGAGATCTGCCTACCTCTGCCTCCCAAGTGCTGGGACTAAAGACGTGCCCTATCACACCCAGCGTCATTTTTAATTTTTGTTTTTTAAAAATCAGTTATAACCATATACAATACTGTACAATAAAAATACATTGGTGCCGGGCGTGGTGGCACACGCCTTTAATTCCATCACTTGGGAGGCAGAGGCAGGCAGATCTTTGTGAGTTTGAGGCCAGCCTGGCCTACATAATGAGTTCCAGGACAGCGGGGGCTACAAGGAGACCCTGTCCCAAAAAAACAAAAAAAAAAAAAAAAAAAAAAAAAAAAAAATACACTGGTAGCTAAAATGTAGGAATTAGCACTATGCTATTAAAAAAAAAATGTTTTTTTTTAATGTGTGCTTGCAAGTATTGCCTGCCATGTAGGTAAGTGCACCTGTGTCATGCAATGCCCTCGGAGGTCAGAAGAGGCTGTAGGATCCCCTGGAACTGGAGTTACAGACAGTTGTTAGCTGCCATGTGGGTGCTGGAATTCAAACCCGGGTCTTCTGCAAGGACAACCAGTGATCTTAATCGCTGAGCCATCTCTCCAGCCCCCAAAATTTGTTTTCTGATATTGTCTCATTTCGTGGGCAGTCTCTGGAGTTGTTTTCTGTTTCTTTTCCTGTTCTTCTCAGTTGTCAGTTGAAGATTTGGTTCTGTTACCAGTGAATGCCCCAGCCAGCTCCTTCATCCCTTCTCTGTTACTTGAGCACAGGTGGCTCTGTGCTGTTCTTCCTGGTGGTGAAAGACTGTTTCATGTGTCGAAGGACCCGTAACCCACCAGATTTAGAGTGCCTTCTTACCTGTCACCTTGTTCATAAACTATGACAGCACTGGAGGAGTTTCTTCTCCTTTCTGCTAACACTGCTAACCATTTTTAGCAGTGCCTTGCTTGTCTCTTACTGGAGTTGGTTGTTAGCTGTCATGTGGATGCTGGGAACTGAACCTGAATTCTCCGCAGCAGCCAGTGCTCTTAACCACTGAGCCATCTCTACAACCCTTTATTTAGTTATTTTGAAATAAGGCCCTTGGCTAGCCTTGAGCTTGCTGTGTATTCTAGGGTTGGCCTCACTCACAGAGCTCTTTCTGCCTCTGCCTGTGCTTCTGCCTCCCAAGTGCTGGGATTAAAGGCATGAGCCACCACATTTTATCTCTGCTATAACTTTTTAAATATGTATTCTTTCAAATCAGTTATCAGGTGACTATATAATAGAATCAAGGCCCCTGAAGTCCCTTAATTCCTTATCCTTTCTTTTATTAACGGATTCTCTGCTCATTTCCCACTCTCCGTGTTTATTCACATCCTTTTCACTCTTTTTTCTTTGGAGATATACTCTCTCTCTGTAGCCCAGGCTGACCTGGCATTTGTGACCACCCTGCTTCAGCCTCCTGAGTGCTGGGATTCCAAGTGTGCACCACCACCCTGGCCTTGGTATTCTTTGCCCTTGCTCTTATTTCCCACCTCCATTCCAGCTCTGTTTTCCATTGTCACATGTTTTTTCCATTGTTTTTCTCTTTTATCCTTAATTAATGAAGTAATTTTCCCAGATATATGGAAGTGTCTTAGAAAATGTCACTTTATTAACCTCTGTATTCAAAAGGATAATTCAAAAGGTGATAATTTGTATTTTCTATTTATTATATCAGGTTCTGAAAAAAGGGACGGGAATGAGGAGTCAACTTCAAAAGCTGAAGTCACAGAAGATTCCACATCACATGGGGACACAGCAGGAAGATTCCAGAAAGAATTTGGAGAGAAACATGAACAACCGGGCAGAGCAGCTGAGAGGCAGCAAAGAAACCCTGAGGAGAAAACTGGCAAAGAGAAGAAGGATTCTGGACCAGCTGCAGCCAAGGAAAAAAAACCCACCACAGGCGAGAGAGGCCCAAGGGAGAAGGGCAAAGGTTTGGGAAGAAGCTTCAGTCTGAGTTCAAACTTTAGTAATGCCCCTGAAGAGGTTCCAACAGGAGCAAAGACTCACAGATGCGATGAATGTGGGAAATGCTTCACAAGAAGCTCCAGCCTTATCCGCCATAAAATCATCCACACTGGAGAAAAGCCCTATGAATGTAGTGAGTGTGGGAAAGCCTTCAGTCTCAATTCAAACCTTGTCCTGCATCAGCGAATCCACACAGGAGAGAAACCTCATGAATGTAACGAGTGTGGCAAAGCCTTCAGTCACAGCTCAAATCTCATCCTGCACCAGCGCATCCACTCTGGAGAGAAGCCCTACGAATGTAACGAGTGTGGGAAAGCCTTCAGCCAGAGCTCAGACCTCACAAAGCACCAGAGAATCCACACAGGGGAGAAGCCCTATGAATGTAGTGAGTGTGGAAAAGCTTTCAACCGAAACTCATACCTTATTTTGCATCGGAGAATTCACACCCGAGAAAAGCCCTACAAGTGCACTAAGTGTGGCAAGGCCTTCACCCGGAGCTCAACTCTCACACTGCACCACAGAATCCATGCCAGAGAGAGAGCCTCAGAGTACAGCCCAGCCTCCCTCGATGCATTTGGAGCATTCCTGAAAAGCTGTGTGTAAAGCAAAAGTGTTTCATCAAGCCGTTTCCCCTTTCTATTTCTAAAATTATGTCAAAGATGTGTGCCCATGGAAGGAAAAGTAATGCCCTCCACAAATTGATTTAGAAGTCACACTTAGGGATCCTTAGAGCTACATCAGCAGTGTTCTGCTGGCTTGTCATCTGTAGGCATGTAATTCTTCCACATAGCCTCTACAAGGGAAAGCTGGTCATACAGATAATCTTCAGGATATTTCCACACAAGATAAAAGCACACAAAATGTCAGGTTTTCCGGTAAAGAGGATACCTTTGAGGCACTGTCTGCAACCTCAGCATGTAGTTGTCAGATCAAAATTGACTCTGACTATGAAACTGAGATTAAGAAGGCACTTGCTGCAATAGGCGGTACTTAGCCAACCACTTAATTCTCAATGAAGAGGGACAGTTAGTACAAAAACTAGGGAGTGTTGCTTGAGCTAGTTATGTATTCAGGAGGTTGTATATCTGATCGCTGGTAGCCTACCAAAGCTATAGAAATCTAGAACTGTGCTGATTAGTACCAAACCAAAGATTTCTTTCTCTTCCTGAAAGAGAGGCTGTATGCAGCAGTCTGCACTTCCAAAGGACTATAACATGTGGATGGCTCTCTTCATCAGTGAGATTAGTTCTACTGAAATAGCAACAATTCAAAACACTTTTCTCCCTTTGTAGTCCCTAAAGCACTCCAGCGCTCCTAAATGCATTTCTCCACAAGTTAGCACTTGATTGTATACATCTTTAATCCTTCATCGTTCCATGTATGAAAAACTTCTGTCAAACAATCCCCCAAAAGAGAGGGAGAGATGCTTCAGTTGTCAAGGAATCATAGTTATGTTCCTGACAGCACAGCCCTGGACATAGTGCCAGGCACACAGGAGGCACTCCTTGTGACTGACTTCTAACAGGACTTTATTTAATAAAACCCTGAATTGTGAGTACCTGAAATACAGGACCTTCAGATCTATAGGGCATGCTAAACTTACTCTAGGGTTCATGTTATTTTTATCCTAAATGTAAACAAAAGCCTGGTTGGCTGCCTGCATAGACTCTTCAAACATGAACCACAGAATGTCAGAAATGACTCGTCATCAACTTAGAAAGAAAAATATATACACTGAAGGGGGTTTTTTTCTGTTTTGTTTTCTTTGTTTTTACGTCATTCCATGGCAAATCCCTTAGCCAGAATTCTTTACAGTCAGTTGCTGAACAGTGGTGTTTTAGGCACTTGCTGAATCATTTGAAACTTAGCTAATGTAGTTCAAAAGATGTGATTTTTATTTTTTACTGCTTCTTGGAAAAAGTTACTCGGAGCATTTTTCTCCACACTTGAGCAGAAACTGCAGAAGTATCACTGTTAGCCGACAGTCACCCAAAAGGTCCATCGTTGCTCTGGGAAGTCGACTGCCATGCCGTGCTGTAGGTGTTGTGTCATAGTATTTAATGGCACACAGTAGCTTTCTCCTTTCTCATTAAAGACTGATAATGAGGTTAGGGGACTGGTCTTTCATACCATCTCTGCAGGTAGCTCCCCAGAAGCTCCTGATGGAGACTGACACATACAGAAGACCCAGACGTCATGGACTACGTAGGTGTTTAGGGCTTGGCCCAAGACAGCTCTGTTCATGGAAGTGTTCAGATAGTCGTGGACAGCCCTGCAGAACCCTAGAAAAATAAGCTAAAGACAAACTTGAAGACTGTCAGCGTGAATACCCCACATACAGTTTGTGACTTCCCCTCAATAAACAACTAAAACCAGTTTGCACCAGTTGTTCACTGACCAACAGTGAAAGTCTATGAGACATCATAGCAAGTCTGAGGAGGTTGGGGCCTGAGTGGCCACTAGAATCCTGCACAACAGTCATTCTTCGGCCCCGCTTGGACTTTATTACTTGGACCAACCACACATTCCTGATGGCATCCAGTTTCCTCAGCATGGCCCAAGAGTATTTCTAGCCACTCAACTGCAGTCAACAAGCAGATATTCTGAAGGTTATACCTAATTCACTTTCTGGATTGAAGTAATTAGGTATTTTGGAGGTATAAATGTTTAAAGGATATTCCTAAAGGAATGAGTCATGGTTATGACTGTAGACAGTTGCTGGTGCTTTTGTGAGAACTTAGCCTACTGGAAAGCAACTGGAATGAGGTGCAGGCTCCAGGAGCCCATCCAAACACTTCCTCTGATCCCAAGAAAGAAAGAAATTGGTTCAGTTCCTCAGTGGCTGCTTGTGCACACAGCTGCATGCTGATGCGCTTCAGCCACCACTCTGGGCTTTGTTTTTAAATGAAAAGACAGACCTGAGTCTCCACACACCGTTTTGTTCCCGTTTTATTGGGGCATTGTACTGACTTTATCAGCTAGCCACTGTGGTGGCTTCAGATCTTCTGCAGACGCACTCCCAAAGGCAGCCTTTGAAGATGTGTTTTCCTCAGAAAACAAGCTATAGCTGGTCATTACAACCATTTATATTTGTATTCATTTTTCAGATGCTCAGCACACTGTCACTGGGTCATGGCCAGAAAGGCTGACACCTCATGTAGTGCTCAGGCTAGTCATTTAGAAGTTTTTAACCGGCTGACGTCTTAACACTCTTAAGTACTTCTAGTTAACCATTAGCATGCTACCCGACCTAATGGAACTTTTTTTTTGAAGATTTTTTTAAATGTACTTTAACCTTGTGACAAAGAGAAGTCCAGTTCTTCAGATTTGGGGAATTTCTTTGTACTGCAGCCTGGTAGGCAAGGCTAAGCACAGATGTGTGAGACAACTTGCTGTGTAAGGCACTTAATAGTAAAGGTGTAAACGTGAAACTGCTGAATGTGTGTAGAGACACTGACATGTCTGATATGTGGGACAATCCACACCTCATATATGTCAGAACACTTATCCAGAATGGCTCCTCTTTCTGAGTGTGATAAGTTTGGCAAAGCCTTGGCTCACACCTCAGCCCTTAGCATCAGAAAACTTATGCTGTAAATAAATATTAATATATGTGAGGAAACCTTTAATGTATAGCACTCGTTGCTTTGGACAGAAAATTCCCTTGGTATGTTCTGGAAACACTGCAGAGAAGGCTCAATCTTAACTCCAGAGGATCCAAAGAGAAAACAAGTGTGGGGAAATGCTAAAGAAATAGCGAAAATGTACAACTTCTTAAAAAAAATAGTTCATGTTGGGTACCTCTTAAATATTTTGTAAGGCCATAATGTCAGTGTGTCTTGTACCTCAACCCTCCTGTTACTCTGTATATTTCTTGTAAAGGTGTTTCAGTCTGTTTGACAGAACCCATCACTCAAAAGAGTCAAATTTTAGAGTTTTTAAGCATTTGGTGTGTGCCAGGCATGATGGTGCACGCCTTTAGTCCCAGCACTTGGGGAGGCAGAGGCAAGCCGATTTCTGTGAGTTCAAGGCCAGCCTGGTCTACATAGTGAGTTCCAGGACAGCTGGGGCTACCTCAGAAAAAAAAAAAAGAATTTGGTGTGGTTATAAACAACCAGTTCACAGAACTGAGGGTAGGGGAAAGGCTTTGTAGTTTGGTGCTTACTAAATAGAAAAGTTGGTGAGGAGAGGCAGGTTAACAGGATACTGAAGTGGAGTAACGTGTAAACACCTACCACCTCTGAGCTGCTGGGTCTCTATCAGGTGAAAGGAATGGATGGATTCTGAGCTTGGTGGTGGGAGGAGGGTCCTCTCCATTGTTAGTATATGGGGGGCACAATAAATGGAGCATAGGAAGTGGAACCACTTAACCTGCCCAGATTCCGTCCTATTTTCCCACTTAAGTCTTCTGTGCTTAGAGAAGTTGGGATGTAAACACCAGTAAGAGTGTTTCCCAGGAAACTCACAGGTCATGCACCAAGGCACCCAAGGATGGCTCAAGAAGCAGCAGGGCTCGCTTTGGCTTCACCCCTAGGTCCCATCCTTGCTCCCTCTTCTTCCTTCTTCTCTGGTGTATAATAACTAGGAGACACAGAATTTCCGTAGTTGTGATTATTTGATGATTGAAGTTTTTTATCCTAGAATCTGTCACCTTTATTTCTAACAGCTGATCTGTTTATCCAAAGGCAACTTAACCAGGTTCAAAGACTGATTTTTGTCATTTGGAGTGACGATATTGAAACACAACAGCAAACTTGTCAAAAGAACCCTATTTTCTGTACATCCCACTCTGAGTGGCTTCTCAGATAATTTATGAAGGAGGCTAGGAATGTGGCTCATTGGCAAAGTACCCTGCCTAGCATGCATGGAGCCCTAGGTTCTATCCCCAGCAATAATCAACTGGACACCATGGGGTATGCCCTAGGAGGTAGATGCAAGTAGATCAGGAGTTTAGGGTCATCCTCAGGTGCATAGTAAGCTTGAGGCCAGCCTGGGCTACATGAGACCCTATCTTGAAAAACAACGTATGTATATATTTATGAGAGACAGGCATGGTGGTGCAGGCCTTTAATCCCAGCACTCAGGAGGCTGAGGTAGGATGGTCGTAAGTTCACAGCCCCCTGGCCTATATGATAAAACCCTGTCCTGAAAATTTTTAGGAAGAGTGTTGGAATCCTCCCATTTAGGGAAACAGGTTTGCAAATTGAATGAAATGAAGAACCAGAAAGTCACGCTTGTGGTATAAATAGGTCACTTTGTAGAAGTTAGGGTAGATTTTTATTTCAACTACTACTGGAGATTTAATGAACATTATTGTTTGTAAAGTTTTCCTAATGTAGATCTAGGTTTTGTTTTTAGTGTGGACACACTACTGTACATTTAAAAGCAGTTACTTATTTTGCTATTGAGATTAATTTTTTTATTGTATCTGAAAATGAAATTATCTGTTTTGCTTTTCAAAGCTTTGTAAACAAACTTGAAGTTCTAGGGGAGGTAAGCCATCTCCAATCCTGCAGGTCAAACAAAACTGTGGGAAATCCTTCAACAGCCAATAATGCAGAATGTATTTAACATGAGAACTGAGTTTCCCACTGTCTGGTTCTGTTTCCTAGTGGACACCATCAATCTCATAGTTTTCTCTGTTATTCTAAACAGTGGAAAGGAGAGAGTGAACATTAGCTAAACCATGGTCCCAGAGGGAAAAATAAAAAAAATAAGTAAACCGTGGTCTGCTGTGGTTTGAACTTTTTCTTTTTTAAAACCTTGGAGATTGTCAGGCATGGTGGCACATGCCTTTAATCCCAGCACCTGGGAGGCAGAGGCAGGTGGATCTCTGAGTTCAAGGCCAGCCTGGTCTACATAACGGGTTCCAGGCCAGCTGGGGCAACGGGGAGCCCCTGTCTCAAAAAGTCCAAAAGAAGGGACTGGAGAGAGGGCTCAGCAGTTAAGAGCACTCAGTGCCCTTGTAAAGTACCCAGGTTCAATTTCCAGCACCCACATGGTGGCTAACAGCCATAACTCCAGTCCTGGGGGAATCTGACACCTGACCTCCGAGGGCGTTGGACGACAAGGGTGTGTTTACGCGCATGCAGGCAATACGCTCGTATGTATAAATTAAAAAGTCCAAAAAAAAAAAAAAAAAACTTGGCGATTCACACACTCCACTCACTAGAATTACGACTCATTTCAAATTACATAGTTATCAGCAAAGTTAATTGGTCTTTAAAACGTGCTCCCTTGAGCAAGCACTCATTAAGCTGAGTGTTTAAAGATTAAATGTCTGTGAGGAACCAGAGACTGGACCAAAACTTGGATTTCACCCCAGTTTCGCATTAGGATTTTAAGTTTGGTTTAGAAAATGGTTGAGCAGGTGCAGTCGTGCTCAGTCACTTACCCTGTAGTCTCCTGACGAGGTTAGACATGTTCCAGATGATGGAAAAGAAAGTTCTAATGGCCTCATAATTCACTAAGAAAGTGGTGAGGCTGAGGAGGGAGATAGACATCTTCATCTGCTGGCGTTAGTGCTCACTTTCCATCTCATAAGAACTTTTGCTGTTTCTTGAAGTTTCTAGTCTTGCTCTGAGGACAAAGAATGTTAAGAGATACTTCTGTTGGGCTGGGATTGTGGCTAAGATAGAACATTTGCCTAGAATCCCCCAGTGGGAGACTGGGGTGTGGCTCAGTGGTACAGCACCTGTCTAGAATCCCCCAGTCATGTCTTAGTGATAAGAACACTTGCCTAGAGTCCAACAGTGAGGAACTAGAGGGTATGGCTCACCAACAGAACAAATGTCTAGGGTATGCAAGGCCCTGGGTTCACTCCCCAGCACCACCAAAACCTGGGGAGGGGATGTTTCTGCTGGTAGCAGGGCTTCTATGTGGGTGGGACAAAGATTCTGATTAAGGAGGAAAATCTTGTCCTAACAATATGTATGTAAGGGCAATGGTGGGTATGGAAGCACAATCAATAATTATTTTAAGATGTGCGTATGTATTCTTACCAACTTTTAAAGGTAGATGATTATATCCGGGTCAACATGATAAGCCTAAATCTATATAGAGCGCTAACTGTGGCATTCCCTTGCTTAGAGACTAGATAAACTCAGGTTTGTCCATTCCAAGCTTAAGTTAGAATAAATTAGACCAAGAGAAACTTTTTTTAAAAAACCTTTGTATGCCACCAGAGTTCAATTATTGCTGTTAAAAATTATCTTTTTCATTTGACCAGTCTCTGAAGAGTCCAGATGCTTAGTAGATGTGCAGTTTTTTAATTAAATAATTAAAATTAAACCATTTTAAAATTGGATTTGTTTTGACTTCTCATATTTCTAGAAAGGCTTCTTTCCCTAAATGATAGGATTTTAGAGGAAAAAAAAATTTAAGCTAGAGAAATTCATCAAAATTATTTGAAGCATTGATTGAGAGCTAGTTTCAATTTTTTTTTAAATGAGCTGGAGATACGGCTCAGTGGTTAAGAGTATTGTCTGCTCTTGCAGAGGACCTGGGTTCAGTTCCCAGCATCCATATGGCAGCTAACAGCCATCCTAAACTCCTAATTTCAGGGGATGGAAATTGAAGTCACCCTTCAGCTGCATAGTGACTTTGAGACCAGCCTGGGCTATACAAGAGGAGAGAGAGACTTCAAAATAAAATAGTCAGTGGTCCACTTTAGGAGACCAGTGAGGTCTGAAGAAAATGTTAGAGTAGTTGGGCATGGTGCTGCACACCTTTAATACCAGCACTCAGGAGTCAGAGAAAATGGATCTCTGGGAAATTTAGACCAGCCTGGTCTATGTAGTGAGTTCCAGGCCAGCTGGATATGGGAAGCCCCTGTCTCAAAAAACAAACAAAAAAAAAAGTAATGAAATTAGAGAAAATGGTGAAAATATATAATAAGCAGTTTTGTTTTTCTTCTGCATCGTCATAAAATAAAGTACCATCTCCAGGTTGCAATACTGGTGATTCTTTTTTGGTTATCCTTGATTATGTAAAAGGCTAGGGTTTTATGTCTGGGGAAATGGCTTAGGACCTGAGTTTGAATGTCAGAACTTAAAAAAAAAAAAAAAAAACACCTCATGGCGTGCACATGTAATTCAAGGGCAGGGGAGGATCCCTAGGGCTCATTGGCTAGCCAACCTAGCCTACTTGGTGAGCGCCAGCCAGTGAGAGACTCTGTCTCAAAAAATTTTTAAAGTGGGGGAGAGGGGAGTGAGAGAGTTGGAGGTGTGAGGGAGCTAGAGAAAGGACCCAACTTCAGCTCCCAGAACCCATATCAGGTGGCTCACAACTGCCTGTTAACCTCCAGGGGATTTGACAGCCCCTTCTGGCCTCCGTAGGCAACTGCACTTACATGCATATACCCCACAGAGACCCTCACATATACACATAATTTAAAAAAATTTTAAACAGGACGTTTTAGTTCAGTAATAGAGCAATTGTCTAGCAAGTAGACAGCCCTGGGTTCGATCCTCAACTCCATAAATAATAAATAAATTAATAAATAATAAATAATAAAAGCTGGGCATTATAATCTCCACCTGTAATCTGAGCACTTGGGAAGCAGAAGCAGGAGAACTGTTCCAGGCCACACAGGGCTACACAGTGAGACTCGGTCTCAACACCAAAAAAGGAGGGAGAAGGGGAGTCAAGGAACTTTCTATTCATGACCCTTCTGGCACCAACTGTCAGGTTTGATGGTTGATTGCTTTTGTTTGTTTCTTGATTCTCTGGACACCTACAACTGGATGTCCTACAAGTCAGTTCAGTTCTGACACTACCTGAAGTTAGCATAGACCCCACAGGTTGTGGGCTCTGCCCCAGAAAACTGTCCTAACTTCAGATGCCAGTCATAAGTCCCTAGTTGCCACCTAGACTTCTGACCAGCTATCAGTCAGGCACTTCCACGGCCTCCATCTCTTTGTTAGGATGGTTCACACCATCTGAGAGAATGCTTTTCTTACTGACTTATTCAAAGGATAGAAATGAGCCTTCCAGGTGAAGACATGCATGGGGCAAGGGATGGTGGGGAGAGGGAGCTACCTGGAGACTTTTCCAAGCAAGCCACCCTCCCAGCCCCTGTGTTCACCCACCAGGAAACTCCAAAAAAATTTGGCTTTGGGAGTGGGGTTGTGGAAGTTTCATTGCATAGGCGTGATTGGTTACATCATTAGCTATTGGCAGTCAGTCTCTCGCCTCCAGCCTCTTCCCAGAAGACAGCAAGTGAGGCTGAAAGACCAAAACTTGTAAGCACGCCTTGATCTTGTAAGGGACCCTGAGGGATCACTGAGAGGTAGTAAAGATAGCACACTGCTTCTTGGTCTCTGGCAGGAAGGCCTTATTCTTATTCCAACAGGCCCCTTCAGCTGACCTGCTTAGCTAAAGTCACATAGGCCTGGACGCCTCATCATTTGGAACCATAAGCCTAACAGCACTCACTTCTTTGTTTAAGTTGACCAATCCAAAACTAGGGGAGAAGAAATCACTGAAACCTTTAAAACCTACATTCTCCCCAGGGAAGGTTGGATTTTGGTTTCTAGGTCCCCTATCCATTTGTAGAGTGCTTCATCCTTTATGAGCGTGTCCAAGTATGTGTGATTCTTATGTGTATAGATATGATTCATTATCTTTCAATAAAAGTCTATTTGACTGTTACTCTCTGCTGGTGTGAGATTTTTCTTGCTTTTTAATTCTTTTTTAAAAAATATTTTATTATTTTTATTTTATGTGTATGAGTATATTGCCTGCATGTATGTAAGTGCACCTGTGTCATGCAATACCCGTGGAAGTCAGAAGAGGATGTTGCATTCCCTGGAACTGGAGTTGCAGACAGTTATTAGCCTCCATGTGGGTGCTGGAAATCAAATCCAGGTCCTCTGGAAGAGCAGCCAGTGCTCTTAACCACTGAGCCATACCTCTAACCGCCTGCCTTTTAATTCTTTAATTGACTGAAAAATGAACACAACAATACCCCTAGACTGATAAAGATGTCACCCACAACAATCCATCAATCAGGACCCATCCTGAAGCTTTCTTGGGGCCCCCACCCCCAGTCACCCATCATATCATTAGCATATAAAAGACACTTGTCACTCCAGAGATTCCAAGGCTTTTATGGATTATCTGCCAGGAACTAGGGACAAAGATTAATTTATTGGGGGGGAGAGATGGAGAGATGGCTCAGCGATTAAGAGCCCTGGCTGCTGTTGCAGAGGACCCGGGTTCAATTCCCAGCACCCACATGGGCTAACAACTGTCAATAACTCCATTTCCAAGGGATCCAACACCCTCTTATGATCACTGAGGGTACTGCACAACATGGGTGCACTCATACATATGCAGGCAATACACTCATATGCATAAAATAAAAATAATTGCTGGGCATGGTGGCACACACCTTTAATCCCAGCACTTGGGAGGCAGAGGCAGGTGGATCTTTGTGAGTTCGAGGCCAGCCTGCTCTACATAGTGAGTTCCAGGACAGCTGGGGCTACAAGGAGACCTTGTCTCAAAAAGACAAAAAAAAATTTTTTTTAATTTATCTATTATCACAGTGTCTTCCCTTCAAAAGTCTGAGAATTGCCTGACCTAGTCTGAGGGAGCTGGGTCATATAATTTGTCTGGCTGTTGAAGAGCCAGAATGCACTGACTCCATTTGGCTAGCTTCTTCAGACAAGCCCGGACAAGCTCAGGCATATTGTAAATTTTTCCAGTTGCTACCCCCCCTCCCC